TCCATGCCGCTAATAAGCTTACGTAGCATACTGTAAAGATAAAATGATTACAGCACATCACCCTCCTCCCAGCAACACATACATTATATCAAGCAAGTTAATAATATAAAAAACATATTTGAATGTTTAAACTTACTGCCTCAAAGTGCATTATCCTAGTCAGACCGATGACAGTAAAATACAGTACACAGCTATTGCTCTGATGCTCTCTGTTATCAAACTTGAAAATACACAGTTCTCCCATATACATGTACAGTCTGAGAGCATGGCCTTTGTTTCCTGTATACTCAAAACACTTTGTTCATTTTTTTCATATATGACTTTCCTCAATCCTGTAACTCATCCATTTCTATCTGAGGGTAACGGAAATATCAGTTGAGAAATGATGTTCAGGTGCTGTGATTCCCTGATTCTGAGTGCTGTGATTGTCTGTCCTGCTCATGAGGGACCTGTGTGCGGTAATCACAGGCAAATTGATTTAATTAAAAAAAAAATTAATTCAGGTTTTATGAAGTTGTATGGGCTTTGTGATTACTATTAATCTTGTTCCAGTTTCAGTTTCAGAACTGCCCTCATTCAGGTGTGTTAGCTGAAATATCACCAAATTGACTGAAGCAGAAGGAAAGAACTCTTACACGCTATTATTCCCAACTCCATATATGCCTGCCCTAAATCAGTTTGTCAGCTATTAGGAGGTGTTTAGTAAAAGTAAAGCAGTACATTCTTAATTAACAATGTGGAGAGGGAGACTGAATAAAGTTCTGCGTGATGACGTTATTGGAAATAATATTAACTAAGGTATTTTTGAAACCCAAGATTCAGTACAGAAAAAATAAAAAAACAAGAAGGCAGATCAGTTACTGTACATGCACTGATTAACACCTGTAACTAGGACCAGCTTAATGAACTTCCAGTGGTACTGTAAACTGTTGTTAGGGAACAAGATGTAAAGTCCCACAGCATGGTATTAAAGCTCTGGTTTGGTCTTTCTCAGACTCCGCTTAGATAATGTTCAGGAAACCAGAGAAAAATATAGATTACATTAAGTCAGATGCACAAAAACATGGAAACAAAAAGATAAGAAAAGTAAAGCCGCAACATAAACTGAAATCTAAACAGTTCTTTCATTTCAGTTCCTTAGGCAGAATGTTTCTTTTTGCACCCTAACACTGTTGCTGTACTTGTCCTTTTATATAAATATAATATAAATCTCTGGAGCGCCACTGAAACTCATAGTTGTTCTCTTCATTTTTAATGACTGCACCCATGTGACAGTTCACTGAAAACCTCCATGTTTAGGAAATTGTTCTTTACATCTTATGTCTATCATGCTTGACAGCTACAGTGTATTTCATTGAAAGTGTTTTTTTCTCTTCTCTTTTTTCTCATATGTTTTTCTTCACATTTCATTTACTATTTTAACATCAGCAAGGCTGAGAATAAAAATAAGGAACTACATTATGCTTCACTCTGTACAATAAAGTATCAACTCAATTCCTGATTTGGAGAAAAATAAAAGAAATAAATTGAAATAAATACATTTGGAGAAATAAAATTGATTTACATGGTTCCACATGGGAAACGCTACTGTTGTTATTAGCTATGGAAAACAAATGATATGCTGCCACTTTCTGTTGCATTTTCCCTCAGTATGGCCCGGATGGTTTTTATATTAAACAGTACGTACTGTAGAATATGTACCCCAAAACATTTAGCCTCAGTTTAAATTTGAAAATCCCCATTTTTCTTCAGAAAGCTATTTGTTTATGTTAGGTCTTGGAAAACCCTACTTTAAAGCAATATTTACTATTCCTATTACTATTACTAGTGATCTGAACATTTTCTGATCTGAATCTTTAAACTTGAATTCAATCTGGCCACTTTTATCTGTGATTAAGTTATTTCTGTGAAAAATTGATTTTATTTGTCTGGCCCTTTAACGTGTAGGCATATTTGTTTTCCTTTGTTCTGGTGCAGGACTAAACAGTCTTCATATTTCAGACACATCATGCTTTTCATTCAGATTCTTTGTCCTGATACAACTGTACCGTAATCATCGGTTCCAGGCTGACTGCTGCTCTTGCTGATTTGTTTTCTTGGTTCTTTGTCGAGACGTTTCCTGATTAAATTGTTGCTGTTACGTCCAAAAGATGGAAAAGGGAAAAAAAAAACTTTTTGCCACTGGTTTGTATGAAATTATGCTTAGCTGATTGGATAACGTTTGGAACATGCACACCTGCCATCTGTTATCTGGACGTTTTTTGTGAGGATGAAGGTGGTGGTGAAAATAAATAGGATGAGATTAGGAGGACATTTTTTTTTAAATGGCTAAATTCACAGATACCTGTTTTCCAAGGCTGTAATTTTCTCAGTGTGATTGGTCTTGTTTTAAACCTGAAGAGGGGTGCTTATGAGTCTAATTATTAATTTAGGCAGATTATACTCCAATGTTCACGCTCGTCTTTTAGTCTTATTAAAATCAGTGGTAGATGTAATGCAGTATATGAAATACTGAAGGGTAATATACATCCCCTGTTGTCAAGCTATCAAACACCAGGGGGCTTTAATATTGCAATTGAATCTGAAATAAATCTCAGGTCTCCTGCAGTTTGTTCAGATAGAGATGTCTGTCTCAAAGTGTTTGGGTTTTGGCCTGGAATGAAGATTTTAGTTGTGTAGAATTAACCAGAACACTATCCCTTTCACTCTTGGACTTCACTTTGTCTAGATAGAGACAAGAAGCAAAAGGTGATTGTCCAGGTCTTACCTCTTCACTTGAAGCCTCCGAGGAGGTTTGTAGTTTGGCTGGGTTTGGCTGATGTTTTGAATGCAGAAGCAGGGTCTAGCTGATTACTGTAACAGTTACTGCAGAGCACCTGATTAATAGATTGGAGTGGAGAACACTTGAAATTTTCATCCTCCTCATTTCTTGCAAATCCAGTATGGAAAAAAACCATGAAATTAGCCTTTAATAAAAGCCTTTTTAATGAAAGTTTAGAAGTGCCCTTGTATTTTAAATGTGTTTTTTTTTTTGCTCAACTTGTTCTCTTCTCTGTTGAAACTGCCATTTAGTTTTGCTCTAAGTCCTTACAGAGGATTTCCACCAGTATTTCCATTTCAGAAGGATTTATGTTTATTTTCTGAATTTTAAAATGTTTTTATATGAGTGCAGCTTTTCCGAGACTTGTGCTCCATTCTATAATTGAGCATATTACTATTTCCATATGACTCAAAATGCTTGCAACTGAGACTGTTCAAACATGGAAATTGACTTCTTTTGTCAAAGAGATTTAAGGACTTTTAAAGCCTTTCCCTTATTATTTGTTATACGAAAATGTTGAAATCTTTTTTGAATGTTTCAGGTGTTTCTGTCAACAAAAAATAGAATTTTGTAACTCAGTAGAAATGGCAACAACGTTGGTAGTTATATAAACAGATATTCTGTACATGGCCAGACAGAGATTTCAAGAGGATTTATAATGCATAGTCCGAATGCACAGATGTTGCATGTGCTATAAGCAGCTATATCTCGTTAGTCACAATCATCACAGTTTACTGCAGACAAAGATTTCCTACAAATACTGATTATTTTAAACCAGTTATCTCTGAGCTGTTGGCAAAAAGAGACTGGAAAATATCTGCTGACAGAGGAAAGTGCCAGAATTTCAAAATATTCCTGAAGCTAAAATTCTCTTTAAAAATTAAAGTTGTGGAAGGCCTAGTATTCTGCTGCTGTAAAGTATGTTTATATTGCAGAGTATTTGAAAGCGCCTTGGTTACCACACTCTAAAGAGGACAGAATGTAAGAATTCCCACAGGAAAGCCATAGCAGAGCTTGTCCATTATTATTAATTATTAGCCTTATTATTCACTTGTGGGAAAAATCTAACCATTTCAACATTCTGTAAGCATCAGAAAATAAGCTTCTCAGCCCTCAGGTAAGTGTTTATTGAAATGCTCTTAGTTTTGAGAGTAAGTTTTTGGATTTCCTCGGGTATAATTATGAAATTAGTGGAACTAAAACGAATCATTAATACATAGGCATATTTTGCTTTGGAAATGAGATTCTAATGGGCTTAACAACAATAGACTGTTAAGCCAGAATAGTTTGCTGTACTGGACTCTAAACCTTAATTAATTTCACATGTATTGTTGACATTACCAAATATTATCTGCAAAAAGAACAGTACAAAGCAGTACAAAGCAGTACAAAGCAGACTTAACCCTAGACTTTGAAGCCAATAAAGTGCATAGAAGCTCTTCAAATATTAGTCAAATATTTACATTATTATTTAATATTATTATGAATTTAAAACAGGTATGTTGTTGGGGGGTGGGGGGTGGTACAGTAAAAAGTACTGCCTAATGCAGTTCCCTCAGAGACACCCAATTACCTTGCACATGAAAGCAATCACAGCAGCATCGCACAACTCTGGCAGATGTAGCACGTGACTCTGGTTTCTGATTTCTCATAACAGCATATGGTGATGAGTCCGATTAAAAGCTTTGTTATTATACAGCCACAGCATCTGACAGCACAATGCATGGTGGATTAAAGAGCTTTAACATAGCATTTATGTTTCTGGAGAAATATTTATTTTGTTGCCACAAAGTACAAGGTTGTTGCTAGCTAAGTTAAGCTTAATATGATCTCATGCAGCCAGAAGGAAGCAGATATATTTGGTGGTTTTTGGTGGTTTTTTTAATATGTCATTGAACGAAACTTTAAAAATGAGCTTCTATGTGGTTTTCATATCAATGTTTTATAATCAATGTTGACATATCTTGAAAAACAATACTTTTGCTATTATGTTTCCTTTCAGGCTGGAATAAACGGATTGAATATGAACCAGGAACAGGAAGCAGGCAGCTGTTTCCCAAAATGCATCTGGAAACTTGTGATGGCCCTGTCTCTTCTGTAAGAACAACTGTAGAGCTACAGACAAACCACATTGGAAAAGGATGTGACAGGGAGACCTACTCAGAGAAGTCTTTACAAAAGCTTTGTGGTATGTTGTTTAGGAAAATACAGTTATTCGATTAAGTAGTGGGAAGTAAAACCTTTATTTTTATTTTCTATTTGGACAAAAATACGTTTATTTGTCAAATGAGGTGTAGTTTTTTCTGAGTGTGCTATAAAGTCTTTTATTTGGAGAAATACAACAACAGATTACAAAATACCTGCAGTGTGTAACCAGCCAAATTCCAAGAAATTGTCACATTTCACATTAGGTCAAATCATTGAACAGTGGGAAAGTGGAGGCAGTCAGAAATATCAAGGACACTCAGGATTCCCGTATCCACAGGGAACAGAATGATGGTCAGGTTTAAAAAGATACCAGAAGATAGCTCTTGCAGTTAGTAGTGGTTGTCCAAAGGCCACAGAATGAAAGGTTTTTAACTTCAGGAGGACTGCTAAGAGCACCCTACATCAATCAGCCGCTCAAATGGCAATACAGGCTCAAGAATCTATCAGAGCAGTCATGCAATATCTCCATCGCATGGGCTATGATTGATTTGTTTCAAGAAGTGAAGTAATAATAAAGGATATTGCGCAAAGGAAACAATGAGCACAGTAGAGAGCACACAAGCAATTAAAAAGGTTCAATTTTAATATAGTTGGGATACATGTGACTTGAAAAAAAGTCTGGGAATTTCAAGAAAAATAAGGAAAAGTACATTTCTTACAGTGTCTTAGTTACTTACTTTATGATGTGAACCCCCAACACTTGAAAAGTATTTTGGATATGGTGTGAACTTTTTTCAACCCATGATTTTACTTTCCTCGGTAGGTACTAATGCCCATCCCCATCACAATCACCATCGTGTCTATAAAGCAAATCTTGGTTTGTACGGGTGGGAAGTTTTGAATGACAGTGAAACAAAATTGCAGGGTGAGGGAGTTTTCCACAATGAAAATAATAAAACAGTGCCAGCATGCTAGTGCCTTGCTACAACCTATAGACATTCAAATAATGATTGACACAGCTACAGCTACTAGTTTCAGTATTTCTGTGTTTCTTGAGAAAACTATTGTTCAATCATAATTTAAATTATAGGTGTCTATTTACTTATGGCCAAACACAGAACTGGTTGTGCCAAATCAGCAGTACTACAAAAAGCTTAAGGAATGGCCCTTAAGATGTCTTGATAACCTAATCTAAATGCATTCGGGTCCTTTCTAACTTGTTTTGTATGCATGGTTTACTGCTAATCAGCCTTTCAAAGCTCTACCGTCATTATCTAATAGAATATAAAAATAAATTGTGATTGCTTTTTAAAACGAAATCAATTTTGAGTAATGTTGAAAGACACTACAAAACAGAATACATTACACTTACTGGAGACAGCTTTCTTATTTCATTGTTTTTCACATCCATTAAAAGAACTAATTTAAAATAGTCTAACTATGTCAATAACTTTTTGCCAAACTATAAAGAGAAAAAAGTTAATAGAAACAAAACTTCACAATAGTGGGTGAATAATAGCCCAACTAGACTCATTGTCCTAACAGATGGATTCATTCTTATTAAGCTTAAGAGCTTTTAATAGAATATTGCTGCTCTTTACAATACCCCTAATATGCTAAGAACTGAGGCTCATTAAGGATTCTTAAATGAACTTCTAACCTAAGTAGTGAAAATCAAATCTTTGTTATTTTAACCTATGTTATTATAAACTTAATGTAAAATCTGAATATAAATACTTAGTGTAATTTTAATTAGTACACATACAGTATGTAATGCTGCATGTGTACTCATGAAAACTACACTAACAATGCTTATAGTTAAATAGAATGCAAGTGAGTGTGTTCATTATTAAATATTGACTTTTTTCTCTGTTTTTAGTACTCTAAATAAAACTAGATGCAGGAGAGACACTGAAAAGATACTGAGAGACACTGAAAAGCTTTAATTTGGCTTTCACAGTACAACATTTTTCATACTTTTTTCAAGAAATGTTTCATTTACAGGATAAAAAAAAGTGTTTGAAAGCTTAACCATAAACTGGTCTCCTTTAAAGCACAAATATTTAAGTAAAAAGGGAGAGGAATACATACTTCTTCAGAGGACTATGTTTACATTTTACTTTGTAAAAAGGCACTCACCTTGGAATTGAACTGTATAATTTAATCTACAATTCAGAGTATTTTAAAGCATAGAAGGATAGATACCAAAGTATTGATGAGACATTAAGATCTTTTTTTCTTCTCCGCATTTCTTCTTGTTTGTTTTGTTGGGTGCGGGGTGTTTCAGGGGCCTCATCTGGAAGCACAGACCTGCTTCCTGCCCCGGGTGCTGCCACGAACTGGACAGCGACTCTACTGACAGACAGCGGACGGGACAGCGACCTAATATTTAAGTTTGATGGCCGGCAAGCCGCAAAGATTCCTGACAGAGTGGTGCCAAAGAATCTGACCGACCAATTCACCATTGCCACGTGGATGAAACATGGACCCAGCCCTGGTCTTCGAGCAGAAAAAGAGACCCTCCTGTGCAATTCAGACAAAACTGGTAAAAAGCATTTCATTGTGCTACTTATTTCTCCATGACATATCTTTTTTTTTTTTTTAGTTGGGGTGTTCCTTTTTTTTTTTTTTTTTTTTTACCTTAAGACTTTAGAATGGCCGGCCTCTACCCAGCACTGACAGGGACAGGAACAAAAATAACTCAGGGACTTCTTTGCCATTTTGTATTTGACACACTGTGAGCTCGACTGTACCTTGCAGAAGAGTTAGCATGACTGGAAGTGTGGTGCTCCTGCAATGACATAACTTCAAGCTCTCTGAGCCCAGCATGTCATGGACGATGCACTGCCGGCCTTGAGCTCTGCCACTTGTTGGATCTCAGTCACAGATGGCTATTTAAATACATCATGGTTGAAGTGGTGATTCAGGCCCAGTTGGTTTACTAGTTGAGTTACTCTAGAGGTTAACTTGGCCATGACTGTAAAACTATTTAGCGTGTAGATTTTCCACACACACACAAAATCATCTTTTCTTGTATTCAAGTATTCAATAGTCAGACACATTCATCTTGTCTCTGTGGCAATTTATTTCAACAGCCCTGATGTTGTCTTGGTCATACTCTCAATGCAATGAAAGGTCATGCATTCACCATGGTTTAATGGATTGCTGGATTGCCTTTATTCCATTCCAGTCAAAGACTTTAGGTCTACAGAGTTTCTTATTCGTGTTATTCAATTAATAATCCATTAACAAAATAAATATTGAATTGCTTAAGCTAAAATACAAAATTGAATGAATTAGGTGCATTTGTTTAGATTCACATTCTCAAGATCTTCTTGTTTAGGATGGAAAGACTGAAGCATGGAAATGCTTATAACTTTACAGTGTGTAAGACGTAGACACCAATTTGTAATTCTTCTCTCCAATTGGTTTGCCCAAGGTTCAGATTGGCATACAGAGGTTTTCCTCTGAGGCGTATTTTTGGGTGATTTGATGTTTTGTTTTAGCTTGTAAACTGTTGGATGTCAGCAATGTGACCAGCTTTTTTTAAAAAAAAGTCTTGGTTTGAAAATATGCCAAATATGTCATGTTGGCGATGGTACTGTACTTCTGTAGAGTTTATTAGACAAATCTGTCTGATTATTGATTGGCTTTTATGTGTCTATGTCAATAATCAAGTGAGATAACCAACATTCAATTATATTTTATAATAAGAAATTCATAGTATGTTGACGTAATGAGGCATTTCTTTATCTTCATGAAATATTCCATTATTGTAACTCAAGGCTTGTAAATATAGAATGTCTAAATCATATTTTGTAATACAGAATTTCCTTCAGTAATACTAAGAATACATTTGTGTTTAAATTTTCTGTATTTTATGTGGAGATTATTGGTAAAATATAGACCCTGTATTGTTATAATCTTCTCTTTAATATCCATAAAAGTTGTTTTCCTGTTTGCAGTTCACTGTATTAAAAGTATAACTAAAGATATAAATGTTTTGAACAGGTTTTTGTCTATTATTCGATATGGATGAAAGCCTTAGGTGATGGAAATACACACCACGGCTAAGAAGCAGATTTTAGAAAGTGCAAAGAATTTCATTTCAATCCCTGTCCTGTTTATTCATGCTGGATGAAAACAGAACTTCAGACAAGAGCCCTGTTATTTACAGTAGCCTTTACAATAAAATAGATACTGATCTGCACCTTACTTTTCTTTCATTTACTGCAGAGATGAACCGTCACCATTATGCTCTGTATGTGCACAACTGTCGACTGGTGTTCTTACTTCGCCGAGATTTTAATCAGGTTGACACTTTTCGTCCCGCTGAGTTCCACTGGAAACTGGATCAGGTAAGCAGCCTTCTTGCATTCTGAGACCTTACACGGATATTAATGTTGGTGGCTCTCGATGCGTACTGATTGTTTTCCTTTTTTATTTCAAATCTTGAAGAGCTAGGGCTTTTAAGAGAATAGTTTTACCTTGCTTCTTAGATAAAGGGTAAAGAACATCTAATAAATTAAATGTTTGGTGGGCATTTGTGGCAGAAGTCAAGCGGCACTACTCTTGCTAATGGTATCTCAGGCTGGAGACAAAGCATTGAGAGGGATTTCTTTGTAACTGGACTTAGAGTGAGCTAAAGGCTGAGATAGAGTATCTGCTTTTTCAGACAAGGAGGAATGCATTCTGCTTTAGTGTTTTTTTTTATTATCTTGCAACTCGAAGTGTTTGCATCTAAATTGAAGATATCTGCACACATTTCTCTCCAGAATTATTCAGTAAGCAAGTCATGGGTAGCCTTGAGTCCTTACTGTACATTGTATGATTGCTGATTGGGAAAATATAGTTGAATTTCAGTCTAGTTAACTGCTTGCAATTGGATGATCTTGAGCAAATGGCACAGGAGTTCAATAGGAATGTGAGATTTAATTTATCACAGCCTCTGTTTAGTTGAGGGAGGATTTACTAGGGCACTCAAAATGATGATATGCATCAGCAGAAGGCATTAATTCACCATGCATCTACCATTCCAGTACATCTCTCCTGAGCTAGGCAATTGAGGACAAGGGACCTGAAAAGGATGGGATAGAAAGCCAGAAAAGAAGATTTGGTCTCTTAACTTATTCATCATGCCAATTATTTTCTGCTCTATTAATTACTTTTACCTACCTGGTAGTAAGGTCTACCTTTATTGCAGATTTGGGCACAGGAAAAGTAAAACCCCAGGGTTAGAATTAATGGAATTTTAAAGCCTTCTTCATCAGTTTTCCTAAAAATTATTATAATGCCCACCCCCTCTTTATTTATCAGAGATTTTTAATTGCCAAAGAAAAAAATATAATCGCAGGCGGTTTAGCAGAATTCATGAACTGTAATCTGGCGGCATGAAGATGATCCTTTGGGACATCAACTCACAGAGCCTTCAATTAACAAGCTGTTGAGAAATCTGCTTCCTGGCAGAAAACTTTGCACAATGTGTCAGTGTGATTCTGAGGTCCTCCACTTAAGTGTGGTTCATTTTTGCAAGGCATTCACTACCTGTTTTCCTTAGTAATGAACAGGTATAGAATGACTGTGCATGGTTTTATGCATGTTTGATATTTTCATATTGCTTTGCTAGCTCTTTTTCCGAAATCTGTTCCCTGTAGTTTTTTTTCCTTAGGGTTTAACAGCATTTGGCAATCTGCAAGGCTGTGTGCTTTTACAAAGTGTGTATGAACAATAGAGCTCTATCCTATAAATTTTGTAAAATGTTTCCCCTAAAATGTTTGAGTAACAGAAAGAAGAGTTACACAAAATCTACATTTAACTAACCTTAATGTTTATTGCACATAAGTATGTATATATAGTGTAGTATACTGCAATTTGATATACATTTTTTTCACATAATGAATACATATAAACCTTGCGAGTTATACTGTATATAACGTTTGAATACTGTATACATGAGAACCTTATATTACTAGAATACAGAGGTATTAAGGAGAATGAATTGGACAAAATGGGTCTCCAAACAACTTATTGCTTCCTTGGTTGTGCAGATGGCAACTACAGTACATGGTATAATTTATTTTAGAAAAATTGCCTTTTAGGTTATTTCCTGGGAACATTCTAGCTTGTTATTAGAGGAAAGGGCATCAGAATGTAATAACTTTGGGTAATGCTGAATATCTAAGTGTTGACTATCAGTGTAAGCCGGTGAAGGAGTCAAGCTCCGGAACAGCTGAGGAAAAGGGATGGTAAGAAATTGAGTGAGTGAATAATAGGGAATTAAGTACCTAGCCGGTGGTGCTTAGAAAGCCATGGCTGACCAGTAAGGAGAATGGGGAGCCTGGCTTGGGGTCCAAAGGAACTTGCACCCAGTACTACCACAGGTGCACCTGAGACCGGGCTGAAGCATGAGCCCCTGAACGATCGGATCCCGAGCGGGGCTCCAAGAGAAGGACAGGGGGAAAAATGGAAGAGCTATCTAGACCCAGTGCGGTGTGTCTATTCTGGGTGTAGTGCAGCCAACCTACGAGGCCGGACAGGAGGCTCCATCTCGGAGCGGTCCCACCAAAGGACACTGGGGCTGGGCTCATTCAACACACATGCCTAGAGGGGGTCAGGTATGCACTGTCAACACTGGCTCCTGGAAGGCAGTCCTTTAGGAAAGCACCTGGAATGGCACGGAACGGAGGTATGACAGGTGCCACCTGGACCGGGCTGAGGGAGCCCACTGCTGAGGTCCAGATCCAAAGAGGGGGTCCCAGTTTCACTTCCACACTTGACAACCTGCAGCCTCTGAATGGCACAGCCACGGGCAGACCCCAGGTGCAGCACTAAACTGTAAACCAGAAACCGGAAGGGCTCTACTGGGAAAGCTGGAAGAGCCTCTGGAGGAGGACTGAGAAAGGGAGACAGAAAGAAGGAGGTGAAGCGGTTTGAGAGAGATGCTGAAAAGAGGTTTGGCAGAGGCAGCCCAAGGTGAGCACTGGGACAGCAGATGAAGGGAGCTGCCTAGATAAGAGGCTGACCAGTGGAAGCTGGGTTCAGGAGTCAAGAGAAACTGCTCAGAGAGCAGCCACATGGAGGCAGTCAGGCAGAGTGAGACTGCACGGAGTAAGGTCTGCTTCAGTGGTTAGACGAAGGTAGTCTGCTGTGAGCACTGGGATTCTGGACGACTGAAGCTCCTCAGGGATGGAGCCTGATAGCAGCGGGGTCAGGCAGCGGGGGAGAGGTCCGAGGTTCCAGACAGGGAAGGACTGCATGAAGTAAAGACTGCTGACCAATCGGGCCGAGGAAAGAGGCCGGACTGTGACGTGCATGTAGGCAGTACTGCCTGTGAATGGTTACTGATGAAGCACTGCTACAGAGTTGCTTGCGAATTACATAGAGTAAAGGGATGATGGAATAATTGAGGGCCCTATTAGTGATGGAGGAGGACAGACTGACGGGGAAGTGGTCTCGGCAGAGAGCCATGGAAAACCTGGAGCCCGCATGAGAATGCTTCCGGTTTCCCAGGGCAACCGCAGACAAGGTGACACTGCAGGATGGCGATGAAACAATAATCAGATGTACATCTAAAATTGGGGGAATTAAAAGCTGTAAAAGGAGTGTTTTGGTACAGCTAAAACCAATATTTGTCTAATAGGGAAGTTAGAATCTGGACATTTTTATTAACCCAAGCAGCATTGAACATGCATCGAAATTACTAATGATTTAGAGAACTTAACAGCCTTTTTAGAAAGGTGTTCAACAAGAAAACATCCCATTCCTAACGCACATTGGATAACCTGTGGTGTTTTGATAATAAACCATTTCCAGTGTTACTCTACTTCATTAGAGCACCGTCAGTGAGCAGGATGTCACTAGAGCTTTCAAATCCTAATTTACTTGTCATCTTCAAAACACTAATGAATAATACCCTGGGAAACTAGGAATCTTAGTTGTTACTATGTCATGCTTCACTTGCTTTTTTTGATATTACAAAAAACACTTGCATTGTTTCAAATAAAATCCCTTCTATTTACTCACATGTTTATGATGCTTTAAAGCACCACAGTGTTATAGTAAAAATGCTTTCCATTGAAGAACCTCGGTAGGTAATTTGATGCTTATCATAATGCATTTACAAATTAAATAATGTTTCTCTTCAGCGATTATCTTGTTTGCTGTTTATCAATTAATTCAAACTTTTGTTTATTTTTCACTGTATTTAGAGCTAGGAATTGATGCTCACAGTTAATTTCGCTTTAATTGATTATAATGCAGCGAAAGAATGGATGAATTAGTGTTTACACAAGTGTGAATTAGACTGTCCACTTAATACGTTTTTGTATGGGAAGCATACAGAATAAGGTTAGCTGGGAGCTTTTGCACCATTGAGCATAGAAATTGAATACACATTCGGATGGGTCGATGAAGAACATATTACATAACAGTACACCAGAGGTGTTAGGTCATCTCAATGTGACCAGCACCTTTATCCTTGGTGACTTGAATACAGAGAAAAACATTTTTCACAGCTGCAAGAAGCACTTTGGTCACCTGAGTATATATATTCATCCATCCATTTTCTAACTGCTTTATCTAATACAGGATTGCAGGAGAGCCAGAGCTCACCCTGGCTAGCAAACAGGCCATACACACAGAGACAGACATGCACACACCTGTTAAAGCAAGGACCACTAGACTCAGGAACAGCTTCTACCCCTCTGCATCTTCAACGGCTAACTGCGGCACCTTAATACACGTCTGCAGTACGTACTTTTTACATAGTCTACCGTTTTTTTTTCTTTTGTCTCACTACTAGGGATCAGCGAGATTGAGAATTCCAATGTACGTGTTCTTATGGCAATAAACTACTCTACTGTACTGTAATCCCACCAGGGCCAATTTACCCGGAGGCCATAAACCTATCAGTATGTCTTTGCACAGTGGAAGGAAGCCAGAGCAGAACCTACAAACTCCACTCAGTACCACAGGTTTGGGATAGAACCCAGGGCCCCAGCAATACTACCCACTTTGCCACCATGCCACCCTTCTACAACACAGAGAACATCATAGACTGAAGTATAAAGACTTTCAAATTTAAAGTGTGCCTTCAATTAGGCCCGTGGGATGGAAAAATTAATTACATACAGAATGCATATACATTTGTAGACTGTTAAATTCTGATGGAAACAGAGAAAGCCATAAAATATTTTGACTGCATTCAATATTCACAAACATAAGAACATAAGAAAGATTACAAACTAAAGGATACCACCCGGCCCATCAAAATCATTTGGCTGAAAACCAATTCAAGGATTTCTTGAAAAGGGCCAGAGAATTACCTTTGATGACATTTGCTGGATATCTTGATCCCAAA